CTCCATCTCCACCTCCTCCTCCGCCGCTGCCTCGGACTATCTTTTCAATTACGGGCGGAGTAAAGGTCTGTGTGATATGATTGTCTAGTTTTTCAATATAGGATTGTATATGCAGATCGACGTCTTTGGCGGACTTCTGCAGAAAGGTATTCCAGACTCCCTCAAACTCATATTGGTGAGTTTCAACCTTTTGCAGAGTAAATAGCCGCTACCTCTTGCTTTGTGTGAAGGACTGTTTCTGTTAAAAGGGAAAGCTTCTCTTCCGTTGTAGCTTGCTTGTCTTTTTTGTCTTGCAACTCTTTATGCAATCTTGCACCCTCTGCCTGCAGCCTTTTCCTTTCATCTAATTCCTGTCGCTTTGCTGCTAACATTTTGCTATGCAGTTCAGCACGTTTTTCCTCAAGCAATAAATCTTTTTCTCTTTGGTCTGTAATGGATGTCAACTTTGCAAGAAATGCATCTCTTCTTGCCTCTGTCTCTTCTATGCGATCGCTGGAGTATGCATACTGGTCATACCAGTCCAGCGGCTTGCCTCAAGTCCTCCACCTGTTTGACTAGTCTCACCTCTTTCCGTCCGCCGTCTGATGAGTCTGTCATCAACAGGTTCGTCTTCTTCTTCAACTGTCTGCAATTCCTCCTTCAACCGTTTTTGCATTTTCTCTTTCATTTCCCTTTTTAATCTTTCTTCTTCCAGTTGGGTTTTCTTCTTTATCTCCTATTCTTTCTGTCTTTTTTCTGTCTTCTTTCTCTTTCTCTTTCTCTGTCTGCCGACGAGGCGTGGGCCCTGGCTTCACGGCACCGGACCTCATCATCATTCGGGACGAGCACGTTCTCCCAAACCCCAGAGGAAAGAAGATCCTGGAGAGGGGGCCCAATAAAACAGAAAGGGCCAGGAGTCCCTCCATGAGAAAGTCATCCATGGTGGCGGACGGCACAGGTGGTCCTCTGCCGCTCCACCAAGATACTTCCCTCAGGTGCCACTAAACTTAGTCTGAAGTGGATGAGATACTATGCTTGCTTTTCTTTTCTTTTTTCCGAACTCTGAGAATCGCTGCTTTCACAATAACGAATTTCAAATAATCAAGAACTTAAGTAGAACTTCTTTTTTTTTTTGTTTACGCGTTGTCTGTCTCCCACTCAATTAGTTCTTTCCTTCTTCCTTACTGATCTAGGTGTTCTCTCTTTATTTTTATTAGCACTAACTGTCTATCTTCTTGCGCAGGGGTACTGGAGTGTGTACTTGTCAGATGCCTGGACAATGCTGTATCACATTACTACTACTGCCCAGTTTAGACCTTATGTTGTGACTGCTATCTGACGTGGCTATCAGCCACTACAACCAGTGTTCCCCCCCACCTTTACTAACTCCTACAGATGACAACTCAGAGGGGTAGAAGAGAAGAGCACCAGGACTCTGCCGACTACTACTTCGAGTGTAACCAGACACTTGTATCCTGACTCCAGACCAGACCTTGGGTAGACAGCAGCAGCAGCGACCACCAGAGAGGGGAAGAAGTAGAGATCACACACACATAGCCAGGTAAGGGGAGTGGAGGTTCTTCTCTCTTGGAAGCGGCTGTCGATGAAGCTCCTCGTCGCTCCGCACTCCAACGCTCCAGGTAAGTAATCTTCTGCCCCTTCCTCCTCGGCTTACTTCTCCCCAAGATCCCAATCCACAACTCTATCATCGCCAGCATCATCATCACGCCAGCGTTCCCTTCTTCTTTTTCGCCGGCCTTGCTCATGCCAGCGCAGTGAGTGCAACAAGCTCCTGCTCCGATACCAAATTTGCAAGGGACCTGTCTGTCCTCCTCTTGCTGGAGTGTATCACCTGTCTCTTATACACATCTCCTCTTGCTGGAGTGTATCACAACGCATGCATGGRCAGTGACTCACACAAGAGATGAAGCTC